GGGGGGGATAGTAGAGGATAGGAAAGACAGCAGAATACAACAGACACTAGTATGGCAATATGTAAATCAATGGATGTGTAACTGATGTGATTCTGCAATCTGTATATGGGGTAAAAATGGGAGCTCATAACCCACTTGAATCAAATTGTGAAATATGATATATCAAGAACTATGTAATGTTTTGAACAGCCAACAATAAAAAATAAAAAAAAATAAAAATAAATAAAATAAAATAAAAAAAAAAAAAGAAAATAGGAAAATTGATACAATGCAAAAAAAAAAAAAAAAAGAAAAGTCCTCCAGAAATTGCTCCTGCCAATCCTCCCCTGATCATCTCCCCATCCCTGGCCTGGTACATACATGCACTTTACTGAAGAAGCCAAGATCCTGAGAGATTAAGTGAGCTGCTCATGTCACAAGCAGAATTATTATTAAACACACATCTCCTGCTCTCCAACTTCCAACTGCCTGGTCCAATGGACACCCCCAAATAATCCTAATATCATTCTATTTAACGTTAGTAGGTAAGAAACAATTTTCTTTTCTTTTTTTACAGAGCTAGAGTTGGAACTTGGGGCCTTACACAGGCTAAGCAAGCACTCTATCACTAAGATAGCTATGCTCTCAGTCTCATTTATTTGTACCATAGACTTAACTCCATTTTGCTTCTCTGAAGCAAATCTTAAAAGAATCCCACTCTGGCAGGCTGAGATGGGAGGACCACTTGATTCCACAAGTTCAAGGTGAGCCTGGGCAACACTGGAAGACACCATCTTAAAAAATATTGAAAATCAACCCAATTCTCTTTAAAAGGATGCTAAGCTCCTGATGTAATCAGTGGTTGACCAGAGCTTCTTAGCCTCAGGCCCTGACTTTTGCCTTTGTTGCTGATGGACACACAGCACGATTGGGTCACGAGAAGCATGCCACCCACATGACAGTGAAGCAACTGCCAAGTTCTGTCTAAGAGACAGATAACAGGGGTTCTGAGGGGACAGAGTGCTTCCTGAGCTTGGGAGCAGGGGGAAACGGGAAAGGCTGATGTTCAAGTAGGAAAACAGTGGGCAAAGGCAGTGTGCTAAGAATGAGAAACGGGGAGTGGCTAATGATGGACAGAAGGGGAGAGGAGCAAGCTGAAGGGCAGCTAAACTAAGGAGTGCCACTCTGCTCTGAAATGAGGTGGCAGATGTCCAAGGGCTGCTGCGCAAGAAACCACATCTGAAAGACCTGCTCTTGGGGTGCAGCTCCATTGCGGCCTAGCTTGCTTCCCCTGGACAAGTCATCTGACCTCTCATAAGCCTCATTTCTCATCCTCATAGGGACACTAGGAGATAAAGTGAAATAATGCACTGAAAACACCTGGCATACTCCTGGTTCTTAGCAAGATTCCAGAAAATATCTGTTGATTGAAAAAACAACAGGTTTTGGAAAAGGCTGGGAGGGTAACTCAGCGGTAGAGCCCTTGGCTAGCACTTGTGGGGCCCTGGTTCATCCCCAGCACTGCCCAAGAAAAAATTCTTTATTGCAGGGAGGCTAAGGCAGGAGGATCGCAAATTCCAGGCCAGATTCAGCAACATAGCAAGACAGTGTGTCAAAGTAAAAAAATAAAAAGTGCTGGGGATGTAGCTCTGTCGTAGAGTCCCCTAGATTCAATGCCCAGTACCACCCTCCTCCCCAAATGGACTTGGCAACTGTATAGGTTTGGAGAATCAAGGGAGAAGGGAGAGCCAAAGACAGTCAGATTTCAGGGTTCATTGACAGTAGCTTCTTATAGGAAGAGATTTTTCGTCTCATCCTACACAGGGAGCAGCGTGTGGGACAGGCGGCAAGATAAGTGGATTTGGAAACAGCGGCCCAGAGGGAGAAGGTGTTTCTGATATCCCTGGCAAACTTCTGAGAAGGTCATCAATTAAATTCTGATTGGAAATAAAGAAAAAAGAAAAAAAGATCATTGGCCAGAAGTGAGGCTTTCATGAAGAGATGAATCTGTATTCCCTACGCTCACACTGACTGGTGCTCAGATAGAATGAGATGGAAAACCCCAACCTGACCAATTTTACTGAAGACAATCCACCCAGAGCATCCAGAGTCCTTTCTAAAAACACTGTGGAATTTTCCAAGGAAATCAGTGCAGGTGTCTCTGCTTCTTTTGCTCCTCTTGCCTGAACAGTTCATGGTAGGCTTTTTCCTGTCCAGGAGCCTCTCCATCCATCCAGGCCCAGTGAGGTCACCATGTCCTCTGGGGATATTTCCCAAGTCTTTCCAATGTTTCCTCCTCTCAATTTCTGAGCACAGTCCCCATCTCTTATCTAGAATCCAATCACAGGGCTGCTTTAGGCAGCTCTTCTAGCAGCTTTCAACAGTGACCTGCCTCCAACAGTGGTCCATGTGGAATGTAGCTCAGGTATTCCTTGGCCTAGATCCCATTCACACAGGCAACTTCAAAAATGTATATTCTAGCCAGGCATGCTACACCTGTAATCCCAGCAATTTGGGAGGCTGAGGCAGGAGGACTGCAAGTTTAAGGCTAGGCTCAGGAATTTAGTGACTGTCTCAAAATAAAAATAAATAAATAAAAAGTGCTCAGGATATGGTTCACTGGTTAAATGCCCCTGGATTCAATCCCTGGGTCCCTCCCCCAACCCTGGGCAAAAAAAGTATATTCTAGGGCCTCCATTCTCAGAGGTCAATATGGTTTTTTTGAGGTGCTAGGAATAAAACCACAGCCCCCATGCTTGGCATGCACTCTGCCTCTAAGCTATACCCTAGCTCCCAATTAGTTTGGGTTTTTTTGTGTGTGGGGGGGGGGGGGAGAAGGGTCTCATTGAGTTGCTTAGGGCCTTGACCTTATGATTCTCCTGTCTCAGCCTCTTGAGTCACTGGGATTACAGACATTCATTACCATGCCTGGCCCCCAATTAGTTTTTCAAAGCTTCCTGGTATTTCTAATCACCTGGTCTAGATAGTGAGAGGTCTTTTTTCTGTTCAGACCTGTGTGCATGCAATGAACACTGACAGTACCCTGTATTCTTGTCCTCTGATTTTTATGACTAAGTTTTTACCGGGTATAATCGCCAATGGCCACCCCAAAAGTAAGTTCCTACCAGTCACTAGGCTTAATGTAGTGCCCTTTTCACAGTTGGTCTCAATAATTAATTTATTCAATGAATGTTCTTTAAATTTTCCCACAGTTAAAACTTTTAGATATATTCCAGGGATAAAGACTGTGTTTTGGACTAGGGTTGTAGCCCAGTGGTATAGCACTCACCTAGCACAGGCGATGCCCTGAGTTCGATCCTCAGCACCACATAAAAATAAATAAATAAAATAAAGGTATCGTGTCCAACTATAACTAAAAAATTAAAAGAAAATTTAAAAAGACTGTTTTATACTTCTTTGTAGGCCAAACCATTTATCCATGTTTTTTTTAAAAATCCCTTTATTTATTTTTATTTTTCTGTGGTGCTGAGGTTGAACCCAGCACCTCAAATATGCTAGGTAAGTGCCCTGTCGCTGAGCCACAACCCCAGACCCCTCAATTCTTTTTAAATTTTTTTATCTAAAAATAAAACTATATGGCATAGTAGGAAAAGAAAGGCTCTGGTAACTGAATTCCTCTGGTTCTTATCTATGAGGGTTTTTTTTTTTTTTTGGTACCAGGGATTAACTCAGCGGTGCTTAACTACTGAGACACATCTCCAGCTCTTTTTTATATTTTATTTAGAGACAGGGCCTACTAAATTGCTGAGAATGGCTTTGAACTCGTGATCCTCCTGCCCCAGCCTCCTGAGCCCTTGAGATTACAAGCGTGCGCCACCATGCCTGGCAGCTGTGAGATCTTGAGCAAGTTCCTTAAACTCTAAACCTCTAAGAATTAACCACATGATAGAAATAACACTACTCATGAGGCTGTTGAAGAGGATTAAGTAATGTATGTGAAGCCCCTGACATTCAGACAGCAGTAGAGCCACGGAAGGTAGCTATACCTACAGTTATTTTAACTAACTACATGGCCTCTCTGAGCCTAAGTTGTTTTATATGTAGAATGGGGACATTTCATAAGTGAAATTTAAATGAGTAAACTGATATTGCCTAGGGCCTGGTATATTTTAAGTACTCACAAAATGTCAGGAACTAACTCGTTAACAACGGTAAGTCTCTCTTTCAACATACCCAGCCAAGGTCTCTTTCATTTTTCCTGGATTATACCCTTCAGTAAAGTAGATTTCTCAGGTCTCAGTCACCCTGCCAAAGCCAGAGTTACTACTCAGGCCCCAGAGAGCTCAAAGGGCATCGACAGGGCTTACGCTGCAGCTGTCCTCCTGCTGGGGCCCTGCTTCTAGGGAGTAGGGACAGCCTCTCTGCCAGCTGGGTGAACCTTTCATCACTGGCTATTTCAGGACAGAATCCAAGATAAGCGCCTCTCTAGCCGCCTTCCTTTCAGACAAGGGCCCCTGGGATACTAAAAGTTCACTGTGTGACCTTCGGTCTCTGGAGGAAGTGAGGAAATCTCACCCTGCTTTTAAATGGAGACATCGGGTTCAAAAGGACGCGCTTGAGCAACAAGCTTGCTGGGTCTAGAAAAGCAGCCTCGATGAGGTCGCGATAAATGTCGTTTGCGGAGACCTGACGGTTTACAGATCCACTTACACCCCGGCCAGCTCTACAACCCAACCTCGCCCTAAGGCTGACGGCCACCTCCAGTTTAGAGGGGAAGAAAGCGGGTCCCAGGGAGGTCACAGAGGGAGAGGCTGGGCTGGATGAGAACCACACTGGCTGACTTAAAGCTCACGGCAAAGCGAAAAAGAAATAGGGACCCACCCACCTGCCTGAAAACCACGGGGCGAAGCGCACAGAGCGCGAGGCTGCGCCGAGAGAAACGATTTCGGGGCGCGCGAGTTTGACAGTGCGAGGATTTAGCGTGTGGGTGGGGAACCAGAGGTGTCTGAATAGGGAAGGCGGGGGGGCACGAAGACTAAAGGTCAAGGTGCGGTTCCCGGCATCGAGAGGCAAGGGAGCCCCAAACCGGGCTGGCGTACGAAAAAGTCTGCAGCCAGCTCAGTTCACCACGAGAACTTTCTCCAACCAACTTACCCAGTCAAGGTGATCCCTCAGAAGCAACTTCAGACGTTTCACTCGACGGAAAAGAGAAACCGCCCAGGGTCCTATGGCCCCTTGGTAATTGTAGTTTCCAGGACTCGACGTGGACGCTTTTAAGAGCGTTTCCCGCCTCTCTCTCTGTACTGAACTACAATTCCCGGTGGGCACCGCGCCATCTCGAGCATCGCAACCGTTAAGACTACAATTCCCAGAGCCCTACGTGCCCGCGGATGGGCGAAACCGCCCAAGGCCCAGGGTGCGGTGCGATTCCTCCCCCTGGCGGTCTGAGCAGAAACCGCGGCGAGGTGGTCTCGAGCGGAGGGTTACCGTTTATAGTCCCAGTGAGTAACCCTCCGCCTGAAGGTCTCTCAAATAGTTCACGGGCGTGCCTGGAAACAGCCCTGGCTTCGCTTTACTCTCAGGGAGGTGGGGAGGAGGTTCTTTGTTTCCATAAATTTTGCTTCCTGGAGATGAGACTGATCATTCCAATTAAGGGCACATTCCCTACAAGCCTACACCTGTTGACACCTTTAATTTCCATTGTCCTTCGCAAGAGACTCCCTAGAGACCCGACCAGGGAGGAACCTGCGAGATCAGCGGGTCCAACCCCTCAGTGCATCCCTGTTTTACTGCCCTATGCTAATTCCTAGGGACACGCTGGCGAATGAGATGCGGTCTCTAGCCTCAACCGAACCCATCTAGCAGAGGATTCAGACAAAGGAATAATGACAACACAGCGACACGCACTCTAATAATGGGAGAAACAGCGAGTGTGGGGGACTGATGTGGGGCACCTGCCCAGGCTTGGGGGAAAGCTGTGTCCCCAAGGCTCCCTAGAGGAAGGGATGGGAAAATTGAGACCTAATGCCAAGAACTTAGCTGGGAGTACCAGGAGCGCGAAGAGTGCCTAGGACAGTTTGCGTGGAAAGTTCATTGCTGGCCAGAGCACAGAGTGTGAGGGACTAAACGGGGGAGGTGCATGGGAGAGGTAGGCAGGGCCCCACCGGCAAACTTCCATAAGAAACTCGGATCATTCGTGCTGCTCAGAAACTCAACAGCTCTCCACGACCTATGAATGAGGTCCCAACTTCTTAGCTTGGCCTTCAAGGTCCTTCCTAACCGCACCCTGTTGGCATTGCTCTTTGCTACTCCCAGACAGAAGCCTCTCCCAGCTTCAACTGCCCTGTCCGCGACTACTGTCTCCCCTCCAAATTCCCGGGATGCACAGGCTGTCCCCCTCCATCAGGTACCCTGGTACCACCAAGTACTCTGCCCTGCCTGGTGGACCCTCTAATCCTGTTCTGCCTTTGAAGTTCCTCCAAGTTCCCCCTCTCCATGAAGCTTCCCTGTCCCAGAGTATCTCTGCTGGGACATTTGCATGCACCTTTTGTTTGGAGGCTTTATCCTCACTACCTGCGACATCTATCAGGTTGGAGGTCTTAACTCTCCAATGGATTGTGAGCTCCTTGAGATCAGGAGTCCTCTATATGCTCTATCCACGTCCCCACAAAATTCACCAGTGTCTAGTTTCCGCTCTAGGTTTCTTTAGGCTTCTCTCTCCTGGAACACTCTCACCACCACCATCTTTCTGGGAGTCAAGATAAAGTCATCAGGAGGGCGATGACATACTGCACTATGGTGACTAAGCCCGGATTTGATTAAAGCTGTAGTTGGTGGCACAGGCCACAATACATAAAAAGCTTAGTGTGAATCAGAACAGTTAGCCTTTGGCTAACTGATAGGGGCTGTGTAGCTGGCCTAGAACACTCATGACAAATCAGAGTCCCTTGTCATGAGCAGGACAGCTGGAGGTCATTTCTTTCGATCTTCTATTCCTGGAGGCTGGGGCAGGAGGATCACAAATTCCAAGCCAGGCTCAGCAATTTAGCAATCTGCTTAGCAATGTAGTGAGATTTTGTCTCAAAATAAAAAATGAAAAGGGATGGCTGATCCTTTTTTTTTTTTTTTTTTCTGGTTTAAACAATGTTCGTGTTTTGTCCATGCTAGACATCATAAGAGAGTGTCCTGTTTGTGTCATGACCCATCACAGTCGCTGAGTGGTTTTATCTGCCACTGATTCTCTGTGAAATTTGGGTTCAACAGGGGAACACTGAAGCCAGCTGGGTGCCAGGATCACAGGCTGCTTTTCTCTTTCTTACCTGTCAACCTGTGTTGGTGCCTCCTCCTCTGGGCTGGTGGCCAGGTGTATATCAGTGATTTGTCCTGTGTCCTTGGAGACCTCATGGTGAGTGGGGAAGGTGGACAACTAAGGGTCAGATCTGGAGACAAGAGATTGAGACTTTTCCTAGTGCTGGGGTGAAACCCAGGGCCTTTGCCTACAGAGCGCATGCTCCTCCACTGAGCTGCACCCCAGCCCCAGACTGTTGAATGTGCAGCTGCGCCACCTACTGGCCTTGAGGCCTGGGGCAAGGACTACCATCTAAGCCTCCATTTCTTCCACTGGGATAACAGTAGTGTTCCCGTTGTGGAGTTATGAAATGGACTAAAACCCATGGATCCCTGGTTTCTTGGGTTTTATGGAAGACAGAAGTGGATCTAGGTTTTGTGGGGCTGAAGCTTATACAATTTTGAGAGCACGCTCTTTAAGAAAAATAATTTTAAACCGGGCCCCGTAGTGCACACCTGTAATTCCAGCTATTTGGAAGGCTGAGGCAGGAAAACTGCAAGTTTGAAGCCAGCCTCGGCCACTTAGTGAGACCCTGTCTTGAAATAAAAAAAATTAAAAAGGGCTGAAAATGCAGCTCATGGGAATGTAGTGTACCTGTGTTCAATCCCAAGTTTTTTTTTTTTTTTTTTTTTTTTTTTGTTGTTGTTGTTTGATAACAGGGATTGAACCCATGGGTGCTTAACCATGGAGCCACATCCTCAGCCCTTTTGATATTTTATTTGGAGATAGGGTCTCACTAAGTTGCTGAGGCTGGCTTTGAACTTGTGATCCTCCTGCCTCAGCCTCCCAAGTCACTGGGATTACCGGTGTACCCAACTTGAATCCCCATTTTAATCACTTATTTTTACTAAATTTGCAAATCACATGAGCCTCACATGAACACATTCAAGGAGCTCTGAAGCTTAAACTTCATTAGCTTTCTCATCACTGATGGTGAGAAAGGGCAAAATTATACAATAGCTTTATTCTTTTAAAATTCTACCTTCAAACAAGTGTTCCCCAAACACCCATGTCCTAAGCTGAAGCCGCTCAATGCTCTTACAAGTTCTTGCACTGCAGCCTAGAAGTTAGTGGGCAGTGCACCAGGATGCAGGAACTGACCTGAGTCACTCTGACTGGAGCGGTACCTACTATTTTCAGCACGGGGACCCAGCTAGAGTCCAGATGATCCTCTTGAACTTGTTATTAACAGAGTATGTGCTTAGTACAAGGTCAAGAACAGTAGCTATCTTTCTTTATTGTTTCTGCAATAATTCTTCCATTCAAAAAAGATTTATTGAGCACCTAGTATGCCCCAGGCACTGGGCCCAGGGCTGGGTGTAAAGCAATGGATAGGAGAGATGGACTCCCTGTCCTCATGCTGCTTTCATTCTAGTGAGAAAAGACAGATGAAATAAACAGCATCTAACCAAGACAGTTAGTTACATGCTGTCATGCATTCTCTGTAGAAAACAGGACGTCCTGGTGGAGAACAAAGGGAGCAAGCCGCTCTCCACAGGATGTCAGGGAGGGAGTTTCTGAGAAGTTGGTGGTTGAGCTGAGCCCAGCGTATCTACCACGTATTAATGATTCACCATGTGTCACACATCTCATTAGGTCCTTTCAAGTGTGTTTCCTCACTGAATCCTCCTGTGAAGTGTGTCTTCCCATTTTAAGATGAAAAAAAAATTCTTCCTGTGTTTTCAGATGAGAAGACAGATGCTCAAAGAGGTAACAGAAGGTGCTGTTGACAGCTGCCCCACCCTCGTTCCTCCTCTGAGTTCCCCTGTGGTTGCCTCTAGCAAGCTGAGCTGCCAACTCAAGATCCTGCTTCATTCAGCTTAGGCATCTAGGGACCAGGCAAAAGGGAGAGGTGTCCCGTACCCCAAGGGCCACCTTCAACCATCAAGCGAGTTGGTACCCAGCCCATCCTCCCCCAGCTCAGATAGCGTGGTTCTGAGGTGGGGCTCACACCTCTCCCTGAGCTCCAGGCTGGGACTCAACCTGAAGGACAACTGCACACTGATGTGCCCCCTATTACTTTCTTAGCCTTCACTTCTGCTTCTTAAAATCACTTCCCAAATTTAGTCCCAGCACCCAAGTCTCAGGGCCTGCTTTAGCGGGAACTCCTTAAGACAGAGCTTAAGGGACTTGCCCAAGTGGCAGAACTGGAATTCGAGTCCAGGTCCATATGAATCACATGGCCCCAGCTGTGACTGCCAGGCCACATGTCAGCAGGACTGCAGGCGGAGCCCCTGCCCTTGAGCCTGGCTCAAGGCCTTTCCCATCCTCATCCCAGATGATGATTTTTTGGTCTCTTCCTTGTCTTGACCAGCATTCGTTCCAGGCACAGCAAACTGTTTGGGAACATAATATTCTCCAATTTTGCCCTGTCACCCATCCAAACCTTTGCAAGTGCTTTCTCTGCAGAAATATGTTGAAACTACGTGACTCACTCAATATCCACCTTCACCCCGTCCCCACCATCCTCCACGGTGGACACCAGTGTCCAGTGTTGAGAAGGAACATACTTGTGCCAAGTGCTTGGCACTCCTGACTTCATTCAATTGGCACAATAATTCTGAAAGGCTGGTAGCATCGTCCCCAGTTTACAGGCAGCAAACTGAGGTACACTGAAGCCAGGTAGCAAGGTCTTCTAATTAATGACTGGCAAAACCAGAATTAGATGATCCCGGCAGCTCCTGGAGGATGAGGCGGGATCACAGGTTCGAAGCCAGCCTCAGCAATTTAGTGAGGCCCTAAGCAACTTAGTGAGGCCCTAAGCAACTTAGTGAGACCCTATCTCAAAATAAAAGCTGGGTACAGTGGCACACACCTGTAATCCCAGGGGCTCATGAAGCTGAGGCAGGAGGATTGAGGTTCGAAGCCAGCCTCAGCAACTTAGGCTAT